AGAAATACATAAGACTATATATATTGATCCTTAAAAAAGTTTCTTCATAGAATTCAATAACTGCCTTAAAATATATATATACTTACGGTTTAATAATAACAAAAATTATTTTTGACAATAAGCCCCAATTTTGCTTGAATTGTAATTGTAATTTTCTTTTCATTCCTGAATGTATTCAGCCACGATTGCTTTTTGATTAGTTATTTTTTCCAATTTTGTGCTGTATGTTTTCAGCCAAAACATACCGATATTTTCCGTTTTATATATTTGATATCTTGTGTTTTAGAATTGTACTTAAAAAGTTAATTTTCGTTTAAATATCTATCGCAAGATTCGGACGAGATATTAAAAACTGAAATTAATCCTCGGCCAATATCCAGTCTTTCAATTATTTTGATTTCAAGAAATAAATTTCCCATTAACTTTAAAATATTCAATGTACAGTTTTTTAACTCTTACCCCTCCCCCCTTCCTCAACGTCGTACTTGTTTTTTCTAAAGTTAATCTGGATTACAAGCTTTATGTTATTTTAAAAAGGTGCTCTATTTTATTTGATAAAGCGAATTATGGGTATCTTAGTACAAATTAATACTCTACAAAATTAAAAACAGATTGTTCATTTATCACAGATTTCTTTAAAAATAACTGATATGTTTTAGTCAAAAAATGCTATATATCATGCTCTTGATGTGTAACTATGTGTTATATTCTTTTATTATTATTTTTTTGTTTATAGAAAGTACGCACAAGAGAGCTATTCGTCTTAAAGTTTCAAAAAAGAAACTCGTAATCAATGGCGTAGCTAGGTATTTAAAGGCCCTGGTGTGGGGGGGGGGAATGAGGGTCCTATCTTGATAGAATTCTATCAAGTAAAAAAGTAAAAATATATAAATATTTTAAATATACAAAGCTACAATTTTGACTTACTCTCTCCTCTTTCTTGGCGTTGTTTGCGCTTAAACACACCCCTTGGTTTCTTTTCTTTTTTTTAAATTTATAATTTTAGTTTTATAATTTATCTCTAATACGATTTGTATGCGCTCGAGTATTCACTGACGTTAAAAGGAAGCAGAAATGCAATGATACACTATAAAACGTCACTGGCGAATCCTTAGCTATTAATTATTCTGGAGGATCGAACTCATTCAACAGAGGGCTTAGAGCTAGAAAATGGTCCACCGAGATAGACTGGAAATGATACAAAAATATACACGAACAAGAAAATTTAATACAATATTATTATAATTACTATAAATCATATTGTTATTAAAATAGAATGTAACTAGGAAGGAATTGCTTCTTGTGTAGGTTTTTAAGATGTAATAATAAGTATGGTAAGATTTTTCATGGAATTTGAAGTTTATTTTCAAATAACAGTCTATAGAAAATAAAAATATTGAAAATAACAAACTTTTCAATAAGTAAAGTTCTCAACACTGAACAAACAACGAAAAGAATTTAGGGGAATTCCCTAAAAATTCGAAATTACTTTCAACTGAATTGTGATGATTACAGTTATGTTGCAACCTTTTATATTTATATCTTAAATTTGGGAGAAATCGCAAATTCGGTTTGCTTGGTGGTCAGGGTCTGAGGGCCTCCCTAAGCTTGAGGGCCCCGGTGCACGGCACCGCCTAACCCATTGGTAGTTAAGCCACTGCTCGTAATAAACTCATAAGCAGAAAATTGCTTTAATTGCTATATATTAATAAAAATATGAAGTAACTTAAGATAGAGTTAAGTAATTCATGTGCATAAACTAATTTTCTAGGACTACAAGTGTGTTACTGCTGATGGATCCAATAATTCTGAACCACTGGGAAGTAACAACGATGACAATTATTCGCCCGCTCTTTTACCGTTCACGCCACGTCGCTCAAGGATTTTCAAGATACTTCAATAATCTGCAATATTTCAGTACCTAGTGCATATGTTCTCAACGTGGGCGATAACTCCCCTTGTGGGCGTTTGAGGCTTTCAAGGGGGCAGTAAAAGACCCAGAAAAAATTAGGAAGCGTTGAGATGGCACGGAGGGGCTTGAGCAGATTAACCAAATATAGTCTAAAAAAACACGCTTTTATGTACTAACAAAAGTAAACTTTAATACTGCTTACCTTATGTTGATTATATGTATTTAAATTATTTTTATATCACATGTACGAAAATTCACGCATTTCGGTAGTTCGGGAAGTGGATGTGTGTGAAAAACTTAAAAGATTACATTACATTTAGATCTACATTAAACTGAATGATATAGGGCACTTTAATTTCTGTAGTGAACGTGTTGCCTTTGTCTGTGAGCAGTACGAAAAATGTTTCGTTCACTGCATTTCATTACGTATATTATCCAAGAAACATAAATAAATATGTTAACCAGGAATTAACGCGTGATACTTTAATGCAGAGGTTCCCTAACTTTTTTGTCTCATAGACCCCTTGCCATGATTTTCGGTTTCGGGTAGACCCCTGCTAGCATAATATTGAATTTTTGCAAATTTATTAACTTAAATGTGTTTATGACAGCTGGTACAGAAGTACTTAATTTAAAAGATATAAATTTCAAACTGTAGTGAAGTTGGGAAACAGTAAAATTGAAGAAACACATATTAATTTAAAATTTAAGTGATAGATAAAATAACTGATTAAAAAGAAATGTTTATAATGATAGGGATGAATCTGGTGCTTCAATAACAAATTTTCAACATTTGCCAGCAATCTTGTCAGGTTTAACCCAAAATTTCCTCAGTTTGTAGTGTACAGCCGACAACCACGCTAAAACTCCTAGGAAAAGCAGTTAAGATCTTTCTCCAATACTCTATAATTCGAGATAAAAACAGGCATGTCTTTAGAGCCGAAATTGTTGACATCTGATTCTAAACTTTAGTTCAAGACCTCCTTACTCTTTCAATCTCCTCTTGTATTAAGACAATTTTTTTCAATGTGCCCATAGGAATTCATTGTCTTCTGTGGTAATTACCAAAAGTAAACTCTTTTTCAAACCCAGTTTCAAAATCTGAATAAAAAGGATTTAAATGTTGAACATTGCTTAAAACGTCGTTTCCTGGCAAATTGTCTGTGACCAATTGAGAAACTAGGAAAATTCGCCACATCCAAAATTACTCCTTTAGCTTAATTCTGGCAGGAAAAGCTTAAAGGATGGTTCTTGTTTCAATAAAATTTATGCGGCCCATAACTTCAAATTAGCCTCATTAAATTTAGTAAATAAATGCGTTAAATGGATAAAATCTGGTTTCCATTTGGTTAAATTTTCCTTAAAAAATTAAAAACTCAATCTGATTTAACGAGAACTGTCGTAGTAAAACCCCATTTACTCATCATGGTCCCCCAAATTATTTTCTTGCTGTCGTGGACCCCTTGAAGGTCATCATAGACCCCTGGGGGTCTATATAGACCACTTTGGGAATCATTGCTTTAAGGGCTGAAACTGTCAGTTTATATTTATTTTGAAAGCAATAGTTTATTATGAATTACTTTGTATCAATAAAACCCCTGCCTCTCTTTATAACAGTTAAGCTAAAACTTTTATTCAATTCGTTTAAGTGAAGAAGAAATCCAGTAGCATTTCAATTCCAAAACACTATCCTATCTATGACTAAAATATATAATATTACACATTTAAATATATTTGTGGCAATAGATATTTCAGATTCGCAAGTAAAAACATTTGGGCTATAAAATTTAAATTAAAAAATATATTCTATTAGTAATAGAATATTTTTTAAAAAGTAACTATTGTTTTCACCTTTTATTATGTACACTCTTATTTCTGTAGAGTGGGAGGAGGCGGTATCAAAATATTCACAAGAAAAGGGGGTGGTATCGAAATATTCACTAGAAAAGGGGGCGCCAGTTCAAAAAAGGTTGGGAACCTATGATCTAGTAGTATTAGGACTTCGTGTTAAGATAAAATGAAACTACATATTAGGTCTTTTTTAGGCGCTAGACACATTTAACAAATACAATGAATACAAAATTAGATCCCAGTTACGAAATATTTCTCCAACAATACGCGAGTTAGTAATTTTTCCCATATTTTTTTTCTTTTTCTCAGATTTTTCAGATTTTTACACATAATAATCCTTGACTGAAAAGTATTTATTAAGTAAATTTACTCTCAATAAATATTCACTTCTAAGCAGAGAGATGTCAAGTGGTTTTCTTCAACAAGCTTTGACTAATGAAAAACAAGTTGGAGTTTTCTTTTTCGTTGTTTGAAATCATTCCATTCAAACGGTTTCGCCATCATATTCATTACTGGAGAAATAAAATAAATGAATAAATAATAATACGTTTCCTTTCCTCGAATACATCATAAACTTTTGAAAAGAACAATGAAATGAAAGAAAGCAAAGAAAAAGAGCAAAAATTAGGAAAAGGCCGTTGCTTATTAGCTATAATAAATGAAGAGCTCTGTAATAATTTTAAAATATAATTTAATTAAATGGAACAGAAGATAAGAAGTAAAAATAATTATATGATTATATGAATTAAAAAAATTGGTACAACGATCTCAACTTGGTGCTAACTTTATAATCAAAACTTCTTTTTTAAAAATAAATATTATAACTTAGAAGTTGATTACAAGGACTTACAATCACAAAATATTCGTATTCCACTTAAGCAGATAATCATATATTTTTCAAAGACACAACATCTGACGTTACCCTATAATGGAATATTTATTATACAATTTTAATTCATGATATTGAAAAAAAATATACCAGTACAACCCTTTTTTTTCAATTCCTACTACATTATAGTTCTCTGCTCCCTATATATCTTGCTCAAATTTTCAATCGTTAATAAAATACTTTCTATTCATCCATTCCAGTTCAAATACATTTTTTAAAACTTGTAGTTGATGACACTTGATGTTAAGACAGCTTTTTCAAATAATTCATTCATTAAATTAAAAAATGAAAAAAGTAAACAAAAATAATAGCCCAATAGCATATATAGAAAGGAAAATCGTTCGTTGTGTCCCTGTAGCGCAAGGAACAGCGCGTTGGACTTCTAACCCAAAGATCATGGGTTCGAATCCCATCTGGTATGGCTTAATTTCTGAGAATGTGATTTCTTTTTTACTACACTTTTTTATTAGAATAATTAAATTTAATTAATGAATAAATAGTAACAAACAAAAAATAGTTAACACCCTATATAGAAAGGAAAATGGAAAATTGCAAGGAAAATCTCTTTCTATTTTGTCACTTAATATTGTGATTCTGACATGCGTTTATACATTTTTATATTAATTATAACTATTTAATAGAAACTAAAATAAAAATTTTCTTTGTTGACCTAAGTAGAAATTGACTTATTTTTTTTATATAATTTGTTTAATCTATTGTTCTATCCTTATGATATTATGAACTCAGCGATCGATTTATTTGCTGTCCAAAGAACAATTTTCTTGTTGCAATTAAACGAGTTGAGAGCTTGTGACCGGCGTTGTTGAATCGTAGTTTCAAGAACTGATACCATTAAAGAAATATCGTCTAATCCCACAACGTGATAGTTTTTCGTTCCTTTCCCATGGTTCAAAAATACGAGGTCTGTGACAACTAGCTATCCTGTTTTATCTAAATTCGTCATTTATAAGTAATCAAACATTTAAGTGCACACAACATTACACTATAATTATAATATTTTACGTCATTCGTATTCAAGCTTATAGAAGGTACTAAAAATTTTAAAATCCAGTAACATCAAAGTTTATCCAATTCATCATAATAATTAACTGATGAATTGTTTAAATTTAAGTGTTTTGGTTTGTCTGATGGCAATGAAAACACAAATATAAAATTTAACCCATATAAATGAAAAGGAAAGGATTTTTTTAACAAAATTTGTATTTTTCCTTAAAAGCCGCGGCAAAACAAATAATATAACTGTCATCTACTTTTTAAAATAAATTTATTCCGAGTATTGTAGAAGAGCCATTTATAGTCTATTATTTTGAAAACAATATCCTGAAGGAGTGATTAATCTGCTTGAAGTTTGAAATGTGGATGGGCTATCCCATCCATTAGTGTACGAGAGAGTTAGAAGGAAAACTAGCCACATAGTCAAAACAACACAGTTTATTTACTATTCTCAACAACGACACAAATTCAACAACCTAAATTAAGAAAAGCTCCAATTGATAAAGATGGGAGCAATTACGAAGCAGATGAGATAAATAATAAATCGGATCACTTACACTTAGTACTTCCAGGCAATACACCTTATATTTGAAGATAATTTCTAAAGTAATCCAATTAACTACTAATTGACCAAATCGTCAGCCTTAATATTAAATAAATAATCTACGAAGTGCACTCGCGTCTAGCTCTACGTTATTTTAAGTTAATCTTCACGCTATCCTTTAGCTTTTAACCTCTCTCTCACTCTCTTTTTCGAACCCGAAAGCTAATACTTAAATACATGACATAATTTAAATAGACCGCATCTTCTCCAGGAGAAAGTTTTCAATTAAATAATATTTACAGAAAGTTATTCCCCAAGAGGATTGTTAGGAAAAACGCGGATAGGCCCGTTACAAGTTTACTAGAAATTTATTAGGAAAAAAGGAGTTTCTCATGAGAGAAATTTATGAAAAGAAGGGGTTGGATATTGATTGGAGGGTACACAGTAACTGAATTTGTAAGAGACAGTCAAGATGAATGTTAGCTTGAAACTATTCTAAAATTTTCAAAACTTATATAAATCTTTTTTTTAAAGAAAAATGTATATTCTCTAAAAATAATAGATTTTCCATGCCTGATACTGCAAAAAAAATAATTACCCAATATCATTTAACGATGCGTTATTTGATTTTGATTTTTAAAAGTCGCTCTTTAGGCTACTGGCGAATGATCCCGTAATTTTGAGCCTTTGTCAAATGATTAAGACGACAATTAAGAAGGCTCCCGACACTCTTAACCACACCAACAGGCGAACTTTGAGCCTTGACAGATTTATTGTGGTGGGTCTGCAGTGGCACGATTTCGAACCTGCAACTCGACAACGCCAGCCACGAGTTCGCGACGATGACTACTCTGTTACCATGGTCAGCATATAATGATAACGCGATTTAATGGACTAAAAGGAAATATATGTCTGACTACCCTAAATATTTCTGGAATGCTTCTTTAAGAAAAGAATACAGCAGTTTTCTATAAAAAAATTGGGTATGAGCTCAATTGCTGAAACCAAATCTTTAAGAAGAGATACTGACTTATGTTATAACATAATTAATGCAAAACCCCAAAAAAAAGAATGAAAATAAACGATTCATTTTCAGATCCAAACTTTGAAGATAACATGATATATACCTGGGGTCGGCAACTTATGGCACACGTGCCACATGTGACACGTGGTACGATTTTCAGTGGCACTCCTGCCCTACTCTACAAAATTTGTCAAATTTTGAGTTTTTGGAAGTTTATAAATTTGTATAATGGACCTTATTTTATTTATCAAACATCTTCAAAATTATAGAAACTAATAAAATTACAAGTTGCAAGATCACTTTGAAGATAAATGTATAGCTACTTTGTAAATTTTTGAATGTCATTGCTGGAGAGATTTAATTGTTTGAAGAGGGAAAATATTGGATGCACTCTGCATTTCGCTTTTGGTTCTACATATCTAAGTAGATAATCTTTCCTCATATGAAAAATATTTCGATTTCGCAAATAAATTGTGGCTCAATTTACATGATTTTGAATACTCAAAATCATATCAAATTGAATCACAAATTATACCCCTGATTTTGCAATTTGAAAGTAGAGTGGTACAATCACTAGGTTCGAATTAAAATTTTTATTTAATTATAATGAAGGAAAATATTTATATTTTATGTTGCATATATCTTATTTTAATAAATATTTTTAAAGATACATGTATACAATTTTAATTTTTAAAATTTTTTGTTGAAGAAATAGTTTTATCTTATGCTGTTTATTTTTATGTTAAGAAATATCTTTAAATGATGCAAAATTAACATGTAATAAAACTGTAAATCTATATTATTTGACCTCTATTCTCTAGCTCTGTATACATTACCGCAGGAATCGAATTGTTTTAAAAATGTCCTAATGTGTGGCACACTGAATCATATGGTAGATTGATTTGGTACGCCACTGCTAAAAGGTTGCCGACCCCTGATATATGCAAACAACTATAATCATATTATGTTGGACCAAAAAAAGCCCTTTGATGATCGACTGCTTTCCAATTCTGCAGAGCCATGTTACAGAAAGAAGTTTTAAAAAGAATTAATAGTTCATCACGCATTCGCTCAAAGACTGGGTTGGACAGAATCGGGTGCAATTAAATGTTTAAGTGAATATTAGCGGGGGCACCGACTCGATTTTATCGATTGAACCAAAGGTGGATGAGTGACCTCCTTCCATTTTACAGCTGCACTATTTCATCCAATCCTGACACCAGCAGCTATCAATTGGCATCCCACTCACTAAGGCCTCTTCCACTCTCTGTTTCCATTTTTTCCTTTTTTGACGTTTAACACACCTATCAATATTCGATACTGTCTCCAGTCACGATCTCAACAAAGTAAGACAAAGTGGAAGGTCACTGACCAAAGGGAGGCTCCTAATTAGACCGGAACTCGACCACACTAAGGAGTGAGTTAAGGGACTACAGCACGTGAGCTTGGGGCTGCTATCACTGACTACATGACAAATGGACAGCACGCAGATCATTCATTTTGTATATGCATTTAGGGATTGGGAACTGAGAACGCAGGCAAATATTCAAAGCTGGCGTCAGTTGATTGTACTAATACAACCTAGGAGGACGATGGCCAAAGTCAATGGTACAATGAGAACCAACCTAGGTTTTATTAAGGTATCCAACTACTTGCGACAACTTTTTTAAAAAATATGGCGATTTTTTTGTTGTTGTTTTTAGATTTGTTTAGTAAATTAAGAAAAATATACTAAAATTAAGAGAAAAACAAATTATTATTACAAAAACGGGTAAAAATTTGCAAAAAATAACATAAACACGGCCCATTTTATACCAAAAGTTTATGAACAAATCTTCAATTTTTCAATTCTGATATGCTGTTATGTTATTCATTTTTGAAATGACTTTTAGGATAAGAGATATTTTAATTTTTACAAAAACTAGAGCACTTTATCTGAGTTATATGAAATTGCTTAAAAAAAACAGTGGTTTTATTTACATAAGGGACTGTAAATTTTGTAATAAAACAGTGAATGATAAATCTGAAGGTTAAAAACACTTCTACTATTATACAGAACATACACAAAATATTTTAGTAATCGCTGGCCCCGTTTGAGAATTTTCGAAGGAAAAAACACACACACACATTCCGAGAAAAACGCTTTTTAATGTATGGCATCTTGCTTAAAGTAGTGGCATCTGCTTTTACTAAAACACTTGTGGTTTTTTAGTGAACGAAAAATAAACTTGGTATTTTAAAAAAACTAATAAAATGGCCTGTAAAATAAAATCATAAAAAAAAATTGTCAATTTTTGGCAAAATTCACAATTTTAGGGTAGTAGGATACTTTAGTGGGCCCAAGACTCATCCCCCCTTAAGGTCATTGAATAATTTTACATTAATGTTGAAAAAAAAATCCAGCTGTAACGGCTACCAACTTTATATCAAAGCTATGTGTTTGTGATTATGAAAATAGTAGATATATATCACAAACAGTAACATATTTCAATTAGGAACATTATTATTATTTAAAATTGATATTCATCACGCAGTTAGAAGTCAAAGAAATAATTTTCTGTCTAGGTGCCGAACAAAAGACGCCTAACAGTTATCACAATTATCAATCAAATACAAAATGTATCTCTCTCTCAATACAACAATTTACTTAATTTGTTCTTATCGGATATTCAGAGAAGGCTCTGCTCTACAAATGAATGGCCGAGTGTAGAATAAAATGAGAAACTCATATTAGTCGATGATTGTTAGTAATCTCTGCGTGTAATTGCTACATGTAAATAGAGTAATTCTTTGTTAACTCTTTAAAGACCGGATGCATCAATTGACGTCCTAACTATGT